CAGAGAACCAGCCACACCTGATCACAGCGTGGCTCTTTCACTGCAATTTCCAGCACGGCTCTGCCCGGAGCCCCCGGGAAACATCCCTCTCCTCCCTGCACACACGAGGCTCCCAGGAGTGCTGCTGTCACCTGGATTTGCATTTAGGTAAATCTGGGCAAATCTACCCATCCTCTTCCCAAGGGCCAGCCTCAGCCTGGACAAGGACTGTGCTCCAGGGACCAGGTTCTGCTCTTGCTCTTTTTCTGGTGCCTGGGCTGAGGGGGTTTGCAATTGTTTTATTTGGTGCCAGCCCAGTCATGCTGTTGCTTTGTCTCACACAGACTTTGGCTCAGAAAGAGCCTTCAGTCCCCTCCCTAACATCAACCTCTGGTCTGATTTCTATATTTCAGGTGGTAAGAACCAAGAGCTGATAAGCACTTCTTGCTCTACATCCTTGGCTGTGGCACAGATCCCTGCCCCTTCCCCGGCTCCATCCCATCACCTCAGCCCTCCTCCCATACCAAACACCACTTTCAAACTTTGTCAAAGCAGGAGAACTTTGTCTGCTGTTTATTGAAGATCAATGTACTTCCAGCACCAAGCTCCATCACTCAGGTCTGGCTGGAGACGAGCCTCTATCCCAGAGGGATGGGCAGACAGACCAGTAGGTCTGTCTTGGTGCCTCACAGACTCTGCCAACACCAGTGAGGTCTGTGGTTCCTCACAGGGGTCAGCTCTGTCAGCACAGCCCAGCCAGAGCAGCGTGATAACCCTCTGCCAGCAGAGCCAGGGGCTGGTACAGGAGGAATCGCTGCTCATTTCTAGTTAAGGGCCAGATTCCCACTCCAGGCAGAAAGGCAGCCAAAGGGTTTTAAGAGTCACTTAGCCCTGCCTGACATAAACCCTCGAGCAGCTGAGCCTGGCCGTGCTGTTCCTGAGAGCTTCAGGCCAAGAGCTGGGTCAGACATCCCCTAATTGCTATCCAAAGTTACAGTTTCAGTGTTTAAACCTCCAGGACACGTTCCCTTCCCCTCTTCCCAGGGATGTCTCCTGAAGCTGCTGTGTGCAGGCACTGGCAGCAGTGCACAGAGGCACTATAGGAGTGGCAGGTGTGATGTGGGGGGTTGGATTCCTCAAATACCAACCAGGGGACCCAGGAACTCCAGGAGCAAGGGCTGTCCATGGGTCTGGCAGAGCAGGGTGGCACCTCCTGCCAGCAGTGGGTGCTGCCATGTGCCCAACGGGCAGTGCTTCCTGTGCAGCTCTTGCTCTTGGTATTTCTGGGGCTATTTTAGGATTACCCAGAAACCAAGGTGTCTGCAGGGTGAATAGGCACCCAGATTTATCACCTCAGAATAAGGGGATCTCTGGGCTCCGTTTCACACTTGAGAAAGCAGAACAACACTCAGGTGAACATGGCCTTGGCCAGAGCGAGTGCCCTGTGCAGGATCCCCGGCTGGTCCCGTCACTGAGCCATGGTGAGACACCCCTGAGCAGGGTTTGTTCACCTGCAAGTGGCACTAACAGAGGTTGGGTCAGCAGGAAACATCTGCACATCGTGTTATGGCAGCAGGAGGCTGTGGGGCAGCCCAGAGTGGCCACTGCATGTCCGGTCCCAAGGCCAGGCAAGGGCTGGGCTGGAATAGCAGCAGGATCTGGGAAAGCCCTGTGACACCACCTGAGACACCCCAGCAAGTGTCCCCCACCTTCCCAAACCCAGCCCCTTCCACCCCCAGAGAAGGCTCCAGCCCCACCATTGCTCAGGGCACTGGGCTGAACTGGGAGAGGAAACCAGCCTCCAAGGCAGAGGGAGGACAATACCAGTCCTGGAAGTGATGCAGTGATCCCATCCTCTCCCAGCATTACAAGGCATTAGTCACCAACTTCCAGAGTCTCCCATTTGTCTTAACTAATTGCATTATCTAAAGAGTACTAAAGTTAATCACCTGCCAGGTTCCCCGCCCAAAGAACTTCCACCACCAGGCACTAAACTGGCCCTGCTTCTATCAAACCCAGAGTAATTGCTTAACAAAAGGCCACAAATAACCACAACCAGTACAAACCATGCCTGAACTAATCACTCCACTGCTTTATCTGGCCCAAACTGGAGCAGCTGCATTGATGTCCTGGGGTGGGGGGAAAGAAGGATCATCACCTCAACCAAGAGCTCAGGGTCAGGATCCTCAGGTGTCGGCGTTTGAAACAAGTTATTTTGTCCCTGTTTCAGACTGACTAACCAGAATTTTAAGGATTTCTCATTGGAATCATGAGGTTTTACAGTAACAGCACTTCTGCTGCAGTAGAAGTTGCATTTCTGCAACAGATGGAATTTGTCCTGCCAGGCAGGATTTTTACTTCAGATGTTTTTCCGCAACGGTTCTCTACAGAAATCTCATTCCTGGAATTTGGCATCTCCGTGGCCTCCTCTGGACTGGCCCCAGCAGGTCCAGGCCTGTCCTGGGCCGAGGACCCAGAGCTGGGGGCAGGGCTGCAGGTGGGTCTCGGAGCAGAGGATGAACTGATGCTGCTGTGGCACATGGTATTCCTGTCACTATCCCAAAACTGAGATTATCAAACCCAACAACTCACTCCCCAAAAAAGACTAGGAAAAAATCAGGGTAAACCAGCCCAAACACTCGACCTTTCTCCAAGCCCCTGGGAACAGCTCAGCTCCTTTGGTCAAAACAAAGTGTTAAAAATAATGATATAAATAAAAAAAAAAGAACAGGTGAAGTCTAAATACAGAAGGAATGAGCATCCTAAAAATATTTTTGGCCATCAGTAGAAATGTTTTATTTTCTCACAATCCAGACACTGAGGAAACAGTGTCTGCAGAGGAGCTCTGGATGACTGCACAGCACAGCACCCAGGCGAGAGGGGGTTTTATTAAAAACCAAAAAAACCATGTATATACCCAAATACACACCCACAACCACAGCCACGCTGTCAGCAAGGAGAGATCTGGCACCTCAGAAATCACAGATTAAGCACATTATGTTTCAGGAGCTGCAGACAATCACTATAAAACCTTTCAGCTGCCAAACCCCAGAAGTTTTCTAAATTCAGGGCGACAAACTGGCAATGGGGAGGGTTCAGCCCCGGCCGGTGCTCCCCTCGCTCCCTGCACCCAGCATCCGCTTCGGAAATAAAACCCCAAAGCCATCACACCCACACAAACACACAGCTCCTTCCCTCCAAATTCCACGCTCAGGGACCGAGTTCTGACTGACAGAACAGCGGCCAGCAAGGCAGGTTCCAGCAAAATATAAATCACACCTTCGGGACAATAAATGTGTTCCCGGTGCCCCACGCGGACAGACACCGTTCCCAAAACTCCGCTGCCGCTGCAGAACCGCCCGGGACACCCGCCCGGGGAGCAGCTGGGGCCGGCTGCCCGCAGCCAAGAGCACCGGGGATTCCGAGGAGCAGGAAAAAACCAGGAAAAATCAGGCATTACCTTGTAGAGAGACGGGAACTTTAGCCAGAAGTGCATTTGGGACATTTTAGAGCAGCATTCGGGGGGCTGTCGGCGGCAGCGGCAGGGGGAGGGTGCTCAGGGCAAAGTGAGGAAAGGTCCATTCACGGCCGGGGCTCATCGGGGGCTTTAAAACCCAACATTCAGCAGGCGGGAGGGAAAATGGAGGCAAAGGGCCCGGCAGAGCCGCTGTCCTGCGCCCGGAGATTTGCATAGAGTGTTTAGTCACGACGAGAGGGCTCTTACTTCCTCTAAGTCCAGGGCTGACTTTCAGGAAATGATGCCTGCTTGGTAAGTCAGTGAAATTACTGGCAGTGCGAGGAGAATTACTGTACGTGGTGTAATCCAACCACAGAGCTCAGTAAACAGCGCCGGGCTCCGCGCAGCCACAGGGCTCCGGGCTCCCTCCGCGCCCTGCCCGGCCACCGAGCCCAGCCCGTCCCCCGGCACAGCCCCTGCCCCGGGCTGGGGGTCCTGCCCTCCCGCCCTCCCCAGCTCGGGCTCAGACGAAGTGATCAAAGTGACAAAGCTCAGGAGTATTCCCACGTTGGTGTCCCCCCCAGAGCCATGTGCTCTCTTTGTCTTCAGTGCCTGCCCCACCCCAAATTGTGCCATTAGAAATCCAAAGGAGTGGCCATTCTCTTCCCTTTCCTCCCTAGATCACCGTTACTTCCCAGGGATGCTGCCGTCTCTTTCAAGGCTGTCCCTTTTAACTTTAACAGTTTTTGGTAACAGAAATAAGCAAAATTTCTGGTGGGGAAGTGAAGGTGGTACAAAAAGGGACACCTGAAAGGGATGTAAGCCTAAGAAAGTCTGCTCCCACGCCACCCGAGGCTGGAGGGGAAGGGAATCAGCCAGAGAACCCTTTGCCTGGCAGAAAATCCCTGAGAACTGTTTGCATTGGGTGCAAGAGGCTCCTGTTTGCTCTTCCCTGGTGTGCCAGCAGCAGCCCCGGGGCCAGGCTCTGCCCGCGGGGTCAGTCCCAGTTTCCCAGTTTGCCCAGCACACCCAGCAGCGCACAGACCCAGCGCTGGGGATGGCAGAGGAGCACTGACTGCTCCGAGCCTCTCTGTCCCTGCTCCTCCTGCTCCTTCCACACCCCCACGGCACAGGAGTGCAGCTCTCCCCGTCCTGCCCTCCAGCCGGCCCTTGCTGCTGCTGCCACTGCTGCTGGAGGTGCTCCTGGGGCCTCGTGCCGGGAACAGCTGGAAAATCCCACGTTATGAGGCACTTCCCTAAAAACAGAGCTTTGGAGTGACAGAAGCCAGCCAAGGCCCTGGAGGCCCATGAGAGAGGCAAGCAGAAAATGGGGTGCTCTCTGACCCTCCAGGGACGCAGACCAGAGCGAGGGAATTTTGCTTTATGCCATCGGATGAGGAGGAAGGACTGGTCCCTCCAAGGAAAACATGCTGGGTCCTAGAGCTGGAAAACCACCCACAGGACAGAAACCTGCAGCGAGGCTCCTTTCCAAGGGCAGAACCCTCTGCAGCACTGCAGTTCCACAGGGACTGTTACATCAACAGCCCTCAACAGTGAGGATCCACGTTCCATCCTGCAACACACCTCGTCCTGGAGGGTTTTTCCACAAGCAAATGGGAAAGAAAAACACCAGGGCAGGTGCTTTTAACAACACGTGCGGAGTGAAGATGCCAAATTCATTTCTGCAATGTCTTAATTAGCGACTCGCTGGTGACCTTGACTGAACCACCACCTCCTGCTATTCGTGCAACTTTTGGAAAAGCAGGTGGGTTATTTCCTCTTCCTTTTCTGTTAGCAAACAAATGGGGCAGCCAAGAGCCCTGCAGTGGCAGAGGAAGCGGGCACAGGACACAGATAACCAGGGCTGCTCACTGATCCTAGGGGACCACGGCGGTGTGACCACCATGGTGTGACCACCGATCACCACGGGCGAGACAAACACCCGGAACCGCCACTGCCACCCTCCCAGGGGAGCCCCCAGAACCCTGCTCCCCACAGCTCAGCCAGGGACACGTGTGCTCCCAGACAGGGACAGGACAGCAGGATTATTCCAGCACTCACATCTGACTTCCCCCCTTCCAGCCAAGCCCAGTGCACAGCCCAGGGAGTTGCTGTGCTGGGGAACCTTCAGCACCCCCTGACTCAGACCAACCCTGCTTTGAATTAAAGCATCTATTTTAAGCCATGTCCCCGTGGTCTGCTACTGGATTCTATTGCCATCGTTTGTAAGAGCACTGAGCGTTTCAGAGCGGCTTTTCCCGCTTTTGTTGGCTTTGGGAAGGGAGGAGGCAGGCACAGCCCCTGCCAAGAACCTCAGAAGGCAGATCTCCATCCCCTCCTGCCCACAGTGGACATCACTGCTTGGAGGCAGCAACACAGATGAAAACTATCAGGACTGGAATGGGGGGGGATGTCTGAGCCCTCCAGGCTCTTTTACCCCCTCCCCAGGGCCCGGCTGGCTCCTGCAACCCACAGCCAAGCACAACTGACAACAGATTACACCTCAGAAGCCAAATTCCTCTCCCTTAACCGCAGGTATCTCCACCTGAGACGGCCCCAAGAGCTCCTCCTGTACACAGAGGGGAAAGATTTACTCTCAAGGCACAGTCCATCCAACCAAAAGGAGACATTGCTTTGGAATAACATCAGCTGGTCTCCTCCTGCTGGGGATCAGCTCAGGGTGCCTAAATCAGAGCACCCCGAGTGCTCAGTCGGTGCACTGTGAGCAGTTACAACCACAGCCCTCACCTTCCTTACCCCAGGCCTGCAGGAAGTGTCAGGCATCTCACACAGAGGGTTTATAAAGTGTTACTACCTCAGCCCAAACCCCAACCCCGCAGTGCAAAGACAAAGACACGAGCATGTAAGGCCACTTGTTCTTCCAAGGCCTCCCAGCCAGGCAACTGCCTGCAAATGCATTTTAATGTCTGTGTTCCCTGCAGACATAACTCCAGGACAGCGACACAAGTTCCAGGATGTTTCTTATTCCAGGAAACTCTTCATTTCAGCCACAACCAAGTCTTCCATATAATTTAATAACTGTTACATTGATTTCTCCTAAATCACCACAGCTCTGTGTACCGAAGCACTTCTAAAAATTAATACTTTTTTTAAGAGCGGGGTAATTTCTCCTCCTGTTTTAACAAGGAAGATTAACAGGAGACTGCAAGGGGCTGGTGGTGAGGAGAGGGCTGGTTTATGATTAACATGCAGGGTCAGGAGCCCCCATCCAGCACAAACAGGGCTGTAGCTGCACCTTTACAGCGTTACTGCAGGTGACTCTGCCCAGGAGCAGCCAATTCCTCCTGCCCCACAGGAAAAAAATCCATCTGGCCTGACCTCCTTCCTCCAGCCCAGTAATTCATGTTTTAAGTAGCCCCGAGTTCCTGCCACAGGAGGTTCTGCAGAGCCCCTCACACCCCCACCGTGCCCCAGCGTCTCCTCCCCTGGAGCTGCTCCCTCTCCCACTCGCCCTCCCAGGTTTATTTCTCAGTGTTCCTCAGGGCAGATGAAGTCAGCAGAGGAGGTTTCTGTGTGTTCAGCAAAGTCCTGGAGCCACAAGTCACACGAAATTAAGCAAAGGGAACACAGACTATCAGCAACAGGCAGGGCCATCAGAGATAACAGGGGGCTCAGAGGAACTGGGCAGAGTCTGTGCTTTCAGTAATTAGAAACTGCCCAGAACAGTGAAGTTAAAGAAAAATCTGTGGTGGCCAAGAACACATGGCAGGTATCACATGGCAGGAATGCTCTCCTAGAGCAGTGTGCTCTGCCTTCACAAGGCTCTGGGGACAGACACAGCTCACGCCCCTGGGAGGGACAGCACAGGCCAGAGAATAAGTGAAGGCCTCGTGGGTTCAGTGCTTTCCTGTGGCAGTTAACAGCTCTGACAGGGTAAGCACTGACAGGGGAGAAGTGCCTTTGCAGAATTACTGCCCACGAGCGCTGGATCCCAAGTCAGCAGCACCTGAGCCTGGAGGAATAATCAGCAGGAAGGGAGGGAAGCAACAGAAACCGAATCCTGCTTCTCTCGGGACTGTGATTTCTAAGGACACGTGGGCAGTCAGTAGACTTTTCCATGAGGAGATGGCACCACGTGGTTGGGATGAGACTGTGGCTGAAGACAACAGTTCCCAAGACCAGAAACACTGTCAGACCCCAGCATGGCCTCCCAGAACTATTTGCTGAACCTCCGCTCAAGCCACTTGTTTATATAAAAAATGCCAATGGATCGGCAAGGATGAATCACCCAGGGGCAAGCCAGAACCCAAAAATACTGGGGAGGAAACAAGTTCGAGTTCACGTCAGGCTGTTCTGGCCGTGCAGAGAAGGACCTTCCCCGTTCACTGAGGTGAATGAGCCAACTGAAGAGAAATTCCCAGAGCCATCAGAAAACCTGGCAACTCCCACTCTCGGCATCCCCGGGTCAGCAAAGGCTCTGCACTCTGCAGGTGCAGCTGAGGGCCCCCAAAACAAAACACGGATAGATGGGGGGAGCAAATGCCAATGCTGGGGGGAAAAGGTGCCAGCCCTCCCACTCTCCAAACCCTCCCAGCACAGCCACCAACAGAAAGGGTTTGCTGCACAAATGCCTCAGAGTCATCAATCACTTGCTCTTTAGACCTATTAAATCCCTTTTCAGTATTCTGAAAAATCCCAGACTCTGGTATCCGTGTGTGGAGGCAGCACAAGTCCTCACACAAGCCCCTGATCCCCTTGTCTGCCCAGTGACCACGGACTGGAGCAGGAACCTGCAGCAGCACCTGCAGCAGAGCTCTCCTGTTCCCCCTTTGGCTCCACTGCTCTGTCTGGGCCAGCCGGGCCAGCACAGCATTCCATGGCACTGCCACTCCTACCGTGGCAGAGGCAAGCCTGGAAAAGTCAGGTACTTTCCTGTACAGCCACCTGGAAGGATGTAACCACCCAGCTGCTCCTGCACCCCCGGGATGGCATGCTGCAGCTTTCCAGGTGGAATGTTAATATTTAACAGTTTTGGCATCTGGGACAGTGAGAAATCAGTGAAGTGGAAAACAATGTAGGAGCAAGGGATGGAAAAACTCCAGGATGCTCCTGGATGTCTCCAGACTGATGGCACTGCCTCCAGTTCACGGCCTGCTGCCCCACCAGAGCCAGGCTCCAATTCTGGCTCCCACGAGCAAACAGCAGCTCTGTTCCTGGTGGGAGAGCACGTGGCACCACGGCACAGGACCCCAGGGAAGGAGCTGGTCTGGCTGCGTGAGATTCAGAGAAGGGCACTTTGCTGTGTCCAGACTTGGGGCAGAACACCTGCAGGCACATTGCCATAGGTGCAGTCCCCCTGCAGAAAGAGTCCAAGCAAAAGCCAACTGCCTAAAACCACCTCGCTCCCATCCATGGCTTCCTCTCCCAAAGGATGAGTGGCACGAGAATTATTTCTGGAAATCGTTTGAGGTCCTTCACACCTGGTTTGTCTCAGAGCCTCCTGCTCTTTTCCCACCCAGCCAACACAAAGCACCTCCTTTCCACAAAGAATCTCCAAAAATCTGCTCCCCCAGGCTGGCTGAGATCAATTTGTGTGATGCAGCAGGGAAGGAAGCTGACTGACCGCTGAGATACTAGAAAATACATAACTTAAAGAAATAATTAAGCCCTTTTCCCGTTAAACCCATCAGCCAAACTCCACCAGACCTGGAGGTGAGACCTATGGTGGGGACCTCTCTCCCCTTCCCATTGCAGGCCAGTAAATGGTCTCACAAGTTGATGAGATCACTTTTCTGCCTCGTTCCTCCCACAATTAATTCTGCAGGAGGCAAAGATCAATGCTATTATGATTCAATTATTTATCTGGTTTAATCCAGTCAGAAGACCCTGATCAGCAGCTCCTGGTGGCTGCCCAGACCTGCTGTGCCAGGCAGGTCCCTGATGTAAGGCACGAGGAGCTGGAGAGAGGGGACCACAGCAGTGGCCACCTCAAAAGGCACAAATCCTCAGCACCTGCACATCCAAACCTGCAGAAATCAGAGCCCCAAAGAGGGTTAAAGCCTCTCTTTAGCCACACCGAGAAACCAAAAGCACCCTGAGGGGGAATCAATGCATACCCAGGCAGGCACCAATGTCCATATTAATTCCTAGAAAGGACAGAGTCAGTCCCTTCCTTATTGCAGATCAGCTGTCATATCAACTACTTCCAGTATTTACTGACTAAGCTGACCATACCATGTTGCCAAAAGCCAGCACAACCTTCCAAACCCTCCATGCAAAGAGCTCCTTCCCACCCAGAGAGCTCCCCGAGGTGAGGGGGCCGCTGGGTCCCCAGAGGTGCCGAGTGACCCGGGGTCACTGCTCACTCCTCCCACACTCAGCTCTGCAAAGACTGACCTGGCTCCACTCTCGGAATGCTGGGCACTGAGCTGATGTAATCCCCAAATATTCACTATTCAGGAATCCACCAGTGCAACCAGTGAGGAAGCACGTGCAGCACACAGGAGCAAAGAGCGTTTGGGGAGGGAAATGACTGAAGAGTCTCAAACGTGTTCAACTCACCCTGCAGGACCCTCCTGCAGCCAGGACCCCCCAGCACTGCCGGTGCTTATGGCAAACATCACTTTAAAAGAGGCCCCTTCTCCCCCAGAGGCATCATGAACTCTGCACTTACCTGAGGAAAATCCCCATTTTTTGGTAAGAAGTCAGCGGGGTCCACAGTTGCATAGTTTGTATCCAAGAAATGTGGTCTGCTGATGGAATCCATATAAAAATCCTGAGGGAGGTTAAAATATTGCCTGTAAGGAAATGGGAGAAGCAGTTACTCCCTGTCAGTCCCCAGCACTTCACAGGTCACTTCAGCCTTCAGCAGTGGTGAAGCTGCAGCTCTGGGATGTCACATACAGGAGGTGGATATTATTATGGATATTATCCAGAAAAGAGTTCTAGGCAAAATAATATATCTCCCAGTTTTATCCCACTTCCCAAACTTGGCAGGAAGAAAGTAAGAAAGCTGTACTAAAAATATAATTCTTGGTAATTTGTGTAAATCAGGAAGGATTTAATAGATAAAAATGGTCTGCAGGACTAATTAATATTTCAGTCCTGACAACAAAGCAGAATGGAGCCCCTGGGATGTCCCAGTGCTGAGTGTGATGGGTGTGATGGCACCTGCCAGTCACACCATGTAGGGGCACACATCAAGGTGCAGGGAAACATCACTCCTG